CCTTTTCCTTTCCTCTATATTCTTCCCTTTTTTTTGAGGAGGTGAGAGGTTAGGAGGGGCTAACTACTTGGTACTTCATTTCTAACATTTTCACACTTGGTCCCTGAATTTTTGAGTATGCTTCTCTTAAGAGCAAGAACATGTTCCTGCAGAATCGTGATAACATTATCACAGTCAGGAGGTTAAATATCAACACAGTAGTATCTCATATGTATTCCAGATATGAATATATTCGTATTCAGATATTCCAATTGTTCTTTCTAGATGCTTTTTATTCTGAGGCTGTATGTGATTGGTTCTGTGCACTCAGTGAGATGATCATATCTGTTTAGTGTCCTTTTCTCTATGGTAACTCACAGTTTGTGTGTGTGTGTGTGTGTGTGTGTGTGTGTGTGTGTGTGAGATTGATTTATTTGTGGCTGCCCTGGGTCTCCGTTGCTGTGCAAGGACCTCTTCCAGTCGTGGTGAGCAAGGCCTCCTCTTTAATGTCAGTGCACAGTCTTCTTATTGTGGTGGTTTCTCTCGTTAAGAGCGTGGGCTCTAACGCATATGGGCTTCAGTAGTTGCAGCTCAAGGGCTCAGTAGTTGTGACGCATGGGCTCAATTGCCCTGCGGCAGGTGGGATCTTCCCAGATCAGGAATCTAACTTGTGTCCCCTGTCCTGGCAGGTGGATTCTTTACCATGGAACCACTAGGGAAGCCCTTCTTTGTTTTTAATCTTTTACCACACTGACTTTTTTTGAAGAGTTCAGGCCAGTGGCTTTGCAGAAGTCCCTGAATGTGGGTCTTTCTGTTTCCTCCCATAGGGATTCAGGTTATTTGTGTCTGGGGGCAGGAAGACCAGGTGATGCTATAACCTTCTCAGAGCATCACATCAGAGGCACCAGGTGAGGTGGTGGAGATGTCAACCCCGGTCATTCGGTCAAAGTGGCTTCTCCCTTGTCAGGGCACGTTTCCTTCTTCAGAATAAGGAACCCTTGGGGTGGTATTTTAAGGCTGTGAATGTTCTGTTCCCTAAATCTTTCACCTACTGATGTCAGCATCCATACATGAGCCTGCCATTCATCAGTTCTGCACGGTGGCGGAGATATTAATTGCCACTTTCAGACAAAGCTTAAAAGGGGAGCTGGCCGGATCTCAGGTGCCAGCCTCCCCACTGTGACCACGTCCTGTATCTCCTGCTCACTGGTTTATCTTTTATAAGCCTCTCCTCCTTTGTCCTCCCTCACATCTGTCTTAGAAATCATGGTGTTGAAAATCATCGGGTTCTTTCTCAGATTGGATTCCTAGACGCAGAGCCTGAGACAGGGCTTATAGGATGTGATAGGAGAAAACCAGACAGAGATGTGGGGTCAGCTGGGGTATATTCTCCGCCTGACCCTGCAGGGAGCTCTGAAGTTTGACTGGCACCTACCTTGGACCTGTCCCACCTTGAAGCCAGAAAGCCTCTTCTCCATCCATGTTACTGAGTCCTGAGCCATGCATCTGCTTCCAGGGGGTGGGGGTGGTGTAGCTTCCTGGGTTACCCAGGGAAGGAAGCAGCTGTGGGCTTTTGGCAGCCAGCACTCACCGTAACAGGGGCACGGGTGCCTGGTTGATCAAGAGGATCTTGGCAGGCAAGGCGCCAACCGCATCCACTACAGCTTCAGTGTTTCCCTCATTAGTTCTTTCCTGAGGCTTGTCCCCATAAAAGCCAATCTGTCCTGTAATTATAGGCTATAAACCTCAGACAGCCGGCTGCATAAAGGCGTGAGCTTAGTCATTTGCAAAGACAAGGTCTAATTTATGGTTGCTCCTTTATGAGGCCCCATGAATCTTATTCACCGCCTTCCTGTCTGGGCCCTGGCTTTTAAAGGTGAGGTCAGTTGTGAGAACAAAGGCTTTGTAGCTGCTTAACAACCAAGGCTGCTTAACCACACAGGCTGGGCCCTTCTAAGGATGAGGTATCAACCTATTCACTCTTAGTACACAAGTGTCCAGACTGCCATGTTGTGGGGGAGGAGAATTTGGTCTTGGTAAAATATCTCTTGGCTCCCCTGGTGGCTCAGACAGTAAAGAATCTGCCTGCAATGCAGGAGACCTGGGTTTGATCCCTGGGTCGGGAAGATCCCCTGGAGGAAGGCATAGCAATCCATTCCAGTATTCTTGCCTGGATAATTCCATAGACTGAGAAGCCTGGCAGTCTACAGTCCATGGGGTCGCAAAGAATCAGACACGACTGAGCAACTAACACTTTCACTTTCACACTTCCAAAATATCTCCAACTTGAGATGGCAGGGCTGACATGTGCCTTTATTTGGTTTCCTAAAATTATTTTTTTTTTTTTTTCAAAACATTTATTTATTTATTTGGCTCTGCCGGGTCTTAACTGCGGCATGTGGGAACTCGTTCCCTGACCAGGGATCAAACCAGGACCCCTGAACTGAGAGCATGGAGTCTTTGCCACTGGGCCACCAGGGAAATCCCCTGAGAGCTCTTTCAATGACATGTTACCTGTATCCTCTCAGCCCCAAACAAAACACAAACACCAACCACCTAATTGGGTCTGAGTTTAAGTGCATATTTTGCTCTTAGGCCTGTGCTCCTCAAGTTCTGGGGCTGGCAGCATCAGAATTCCCCCAGAGTTTGCTAGAAATGCAGAGTCCTGGGCCCATCCCAGACCTGCAGAATCAAAACCTCTGGGGCTGAAACCAGGAAGCGCCTGTGGCTTCACACCCCCAGGGGATTGCTCCCCCAGGCTCAAGGGCTAATGCAAAGCAATGATTATAAACTTGGGTGCAGGCTGGGGCCGCCTGAGGAAGCTGAACCATTGTGATGTCTGCATTCTGCCCCCAGAGTGTCTGATTTATTTGATCTGGGGGTGCTGTCTAGCCATCACAAAAATGTAAACTCCCTAGGCAATTTTCATGGGCAGCCAAGGGTGGAAACCCGTGCTGTAAAGTTGCCTTCTTTACCTCATGGGAAAGGAATGTTTACACCAGCTTCATTGTGAAGAGTTTGTTCTGAGCACTGCAGAGATTCTCTTCAAAACACCTGGAGGCCCTGGAATGGCATTTCCAGAATGAGGAACTACCCTTTCTGGGCACAGATGGTCCCATATGGAAACTTGCAGCAGCAATAAAGGAAAACACTCCTTACTTGAGAGCAGATGAAATGTAAATATTGAATGGAAGCCCGAGATTCTTTAGATCTAGAGATTCTTTAGATCTGGAGCTTGTGGCAGGGGAGAAGGTGGGGTGCAGTCTCTGGTGGCCCATGTGCTGTCATGGGGCGGCGGGGGGTGTGTGGTTCCTAAGTCTGCGTGCCCCCACGTGACCTCTTAGAGCAGAGTGGTCCACAGCGGGCTGGCATACCTCCTCTCCCCTCTCCCCTTACATTCAGACCCCATCACCTGTCTTCCTCACTGTTGAAGGCTTCCTTCAGACCACATATATGGGTCTCTTGGAGTGCAGACATTTGAAGATGATGTGTACCCCACCTGAACTCAGCCGTGCAGACATGGGTGGTCAGGCTTGGTGGTCAGGCTGTTCGGGGACCACAGGGATGACCAGCATGGAGAACCCTGAATGTGGCAAAGGAAAGACACCCCAGAGCTTAGGCAGCCTTAGGCGGGGACCTCCACCCTCTCTCAGCAGAGCGCTGTTCCTTGGCCTGAGCCTCCTGGTCCTCTTTTTGAAAGCTAGGATCCTGGCACCTCCTTTCAGGGCTACTGTAAAGGAGCAGATAAGAGTATTTCTGAAGGTTTGGCCAACAGTAGACACCACCTAGTTACAGCCATCTTGTGTTTGTGATCGCACCTGTTAGCTGCAAAGCTGGAGAAACACCAAACTTCTGGGATTTCTGGCTTTGCCATTTCTTGGCTGTTTATTACTCTGGAGCTTGCTGAACCTCAGTTTCCTCACTTGTAAAATCGGGATTAAGTACTCAGAAACAGGATTAGGTTTGGGGGGCAGAGATGATATCCATCAAGGGGATATTTTTGTATTGAGATTTCATTCACACACCATAAAGTTCAGTGGTTTTTTTTCAGTATTTCACAAAGTTGCACAGCCATCAGCTTATCTCATTCCAGAACATTTTTGTTACCTGGAAAGAACCTCCAAACCCTTTCGTGGTCATGACCTACCCCAACCCCTCCCCAGTCCTCCCCAGTCACTGATCTTTCTGTCTCTATGTTTTTATCTAACCCAGATATTTTGCATAAGTGGGATCAGCACACTGTTGTGCCTGGTTTCGTTCACTTAGTGTGGGATCCTCAGGGTTTCATTCCATTCCATGGAGTCTTCAAAGTCTTCCATTTTGTAGCATGGATCAATGTCTCAATCATAAAAAGAATCAATGACCGTTATGGCTGAATAAAATTCCATTTTCTGGATATACCACATTTTATTTATCCTTTCTTTAGTTGATTGGAGATTTGGACTGTTTCCACTTTATGGCAACTATGAATAATATTCATATGGTTTTATGAATAGTGCAATACCATTCCACTGTGGGGTTCTATTAGAAATAATATTAATAGTGAAAGTGAAAGTGCCTGAAAGGAAATGAAATCCAGTTCATATGGATATATGTGTGCCTGAGTACTGTTCGTCTGTGTCTTCAGAGCTTGCCTAGTCATGCTCTTGGCCTCATGGTTACTGTATGGAATTTAGCACTTAGAGTTTCTTTTTGCTCAAAGTGAAGACATGCCCTAATAGCAGAAAACAGAGTAAACAGCATTTAGGATATTTAGAACCCTGTGAAAACTGAGTTAGAAAGGGAAGGTTGAGTGTGTTGAGGGGTGTTGAGGACTTGCTACAATGTTAGACATACAGAGCGATATAGAACCCAGTGTCTGCCTCTGGAAAGCTTTCAGTCTGAAGGGGAAGACAGAAGAGGTGGTGATGAAGGTTGGGGCCCTGGGCCAGGATAGGTCCAGCCTAGGAGACCGCAGGGTGCTATCCTCATGAGGGAGACCTTGCTGCAGCTGTCTGACCCCTGCCGATTCTCTCTCCTAGCATGGTAAGACACAAGGACGATCACTACTCCGAGGAAACGGACGCCAAGACCTGCCCCCGGGACTCGGGCTACGACAGCCTCTCCAACAGGCTCAGCATCTTGGACCGACTCCTGCACACCCACCCCATATGGCTGCAGCTGAGCCTGAGTGAGGAGGAGGCGGCCGGAGTCCTGCAGGCGCAGCCTCCGGGGGTAAGACTCTAAAGTGGGGAAACGGGGAGGCAGGCAGGGCCGTCACTTCCCTAAAGAGAAAGACGGTGAGTTCCAGAGTTCTTCCCAGCTCCTAGGGAGCGTGGTGCCCGGTGTGTGTGTCTCCTTACAAGGCAGAGAAATTCTGGAAACTATGGAGGCAGCTCCCAAAACAGAGCCCTTCATCTGCCCTTGGGACCTCAAGACTCTGAGGAATAACAGGGCACCTGGGTACTGAGGAGAGGCCACTGGCCCCGGGCCCTGGGCCTGACTTCTTGAGATGTGACCTGGAGGATGAGCCTGGTGTGGGGTCCTCAGTCTGTGGTTTTCCTTTCATTATGAGCCTGGGAGCCCTGGCCTGGGTCCAGCCATCCAATTCAGGACCCAGCCTTCTAAAATTGCACATTCCTAGTCTTGTCTGCTCTGGCTGCCAGAGTCATCCTCTTTCCCTTGTGTGGTCTCAGTGAGAAATCAAAGCTCAGTTTGGTTTCTTCAGCACCCCCTCCCCAAGGCTACACAAGGCTTCCCATATGGCTCAGCTGGTAAAGAATCTGCCTGGGCTCAATCCCTGGGTTGGGAAGATCCCCTGGAGAAGGGAAAGGCTACCCACTCCAGTATTCTGACCTAGAGAATTCCATGGATTGCATAATCCATGGAGTTGCAAAGAATCGGACACTACTGAGCAACCTTCACTTTCACCCAAGGCTAGTCTCATCTAACTCAAGCCCACTCCATGATGCTATAGAAGTTTCTTAGAAAATGTTATTTGGTGATAGGTAGATATATTCTGTGCTATCTAACATGGTGGCCACTGGCCTCAAGTAGCTATTTAAATTACATTAATAAAATAGAATAAAACATTTGGTTCCTCAGTGGCACTAGCCATATTTAAGATCTCACTATCTCCAATGTCTGTGTGGCTACCATATTGAATGGACGGTGCAAAGTATAGAACGTTTCCACCATCATAGAAAGTTCTTGGGGACAGCACTTGTGTACGATGTACACTTCTAAAACAAGGGTAAATATAATAAATCACAGATAAAATAAGACTGGAAACAACACACCACAAGAGATAGAAACTAAGAAATAGATGGAGAGGCGGGGAGAAAATTCCTTCCGTAGCTGGCCAAGGAATGTTGTAACAGCTGGACACAAAAATAAACTTTCCAGTTTCCTATCAGCCAGAGCTTGTCGGTTGTCACTTTTTGACTCACAAGTGAGTCTTTGTTCCTCATCTGACGGAAGCAGACAAGACTAAGTCCTTGCTGGAACACATTCAGGAGGACAGGCGCAGTATTGGATCATCCTTGCGGAGAATTCCTTGGCCGGCTCGCCGGGTTGTTGCCTCTGGTTTTGGTCTATATGATCAGGACCCCTTTCTGTGAGGCCCCCACTTTTTACAAGTTGAGTTGTCTGCTCCTGTGTTTCTGCAAAAAAAATATTCTAATGAGGGAGGTTGCCGTGTTGCTAGGCAATACTTCATCTCCGTGCTCGCCCCAGCACCTGGAGTAAGGCACATCCATTCCTGCTGGAAGCTGGTGGGGAGCAAGTCAGGCAGGAAGTTCTCCACCTTCCGGATCCCTGGGCAGGACCTGCCTGACGGGATGGGGCTGAGGGCAGGGTGAGGAGGGGAGAGGCCACAGTTCACCAGGAGAAGCAAGGATCCTGAATAGAAGGAGGAGCAGATGTGTGAAAGTGAAAGGTTTGAAAGACCAACCCTAGTGGCATCTGGTCCTTAGGGTGCCACCATCCCTAATTCATCTATAACCCTAAGACAAGCGTCAGCAGATTCTTTCTGTGAAGAGTCAGAATGTCAGTATTTGGAGCTTTGTGGCCATAGAGCCTCTGTCATAGCCACTCAACTCTGCCATCACAGGGCAGCCGCAGCTGTTTAAGTATATAGACCAAGCAGCAAGGCTGTATGTCAATAAAACTTTATTTATGAAAGCAAGTGGCAGGATGGGTTTGTTCTGTAGGCCATGCTTTGCCAACTGCTGACCTAAGGTTTTGGATGTTCAGGAGATAAGGCTCAGAGATTGTACCCTCCCTGAGCCTCAAGACTCAAGGAGACCCCGACCTCCCAAAGGGAAAGATACTTCTTTCCACCAACAGCAGCTGCCTCCCAGCAGTACTTTGAGGCTTTTCCTCATCACAAGAGCATTGTGGGACCACCCGCTTCTGCTTCAGGGTGACCCAGAGCCATTGACTCCCATAGCTGGCACATTCTGTGGCCATCTCTCTGTGGTTGCTGGGGAAAAAGAGAGCCCTGAAGATGACCTTCTTGTCTTCCACAGACACCCAGCTCCTGTTACCCCTTCTCCCCCCATAAAAGTATCTTAGGAGCTATTGACTGGACATTAAGAAAGAGATGACAATTAGGTGGGAAAAGTAAAAGGCTGAAGAAACGTAGGAGCAGATAGCCAAACACAGAAGAAAGAAAAATGAAGAAACAGGACCGGATGGTCTCCTTGGAAGAAGGGTCATGAGTCACAGGAGGGAACCGGCATGCAGCCAGGCCACCACACCACAAACTCCAGGGAGTACCATTGCGTTTGTCATCTGGGTAGATGACGCCCTCAGGTTTGTGCAGTGCACACCTGAATGTGGCATACCCAGCTCTACAGTAACATATGCTTGGATGGCCTCCTGAGATCAGCACTGGACTTGGGCTGGTTTAAACATGCATCTAAAGACACCATTTGGAACTGAAGGGAGTTGTCGGAAAGCGAAGTGAGTCAGGAGTAAAGGGACCACCAGCCTGTGTGTTGGCTGGCGTGAACCTCAGAGCACTTCCCATTTTCAGCTCCAGCAGATGTGGCCAAGCCAGGTCTTGCCTTATTATCCCATTTTCCAAGAGACGCTGGCCACTCAGATTTTCTTGTGTAAAGTGAAAGACCCTGTGCTTTTCCACTGTTGGCAACAAATTCAGATTTCTATCTTAAATACACCCATGAACCAGATTAGCCAATGAACTTCCAATTTTCCACCAATGGCTGAGCCATGTTACCTGTGTCTAGAATTTAGGGTTCATCAGCCAGGATGCCTTATCAGACATAAGCTGGAGAGTATGTATCATGAGCTGTAAAGTAGTCACCAAACTGAAAATGTTTCACAGATTGAGGAGGTTCTCAGTATCGTGGAGAAGTTTCCATCAAAGAGAAAGTGGGATCCTCCAAGACTGGTTACCAAAGGTGGGCATCCGTGGCCTGCTGGCTCATCAGTATCCATGGCAGCAATGTGCATCTGAAGCCCTGTAGTTTGGCTATGAGAGGGGTTCCATGCATGGAAGCTACATGTGTAGGAAATGACACACCCAGGTCCCAGCCTTCTAGATGTCTCTTAAGCTTGCATTTCTTTTCCCTCCTCTAGATCTTCCTGGTTCGTAAATCCACCAAAATGCAGAAGAAAGTCCTCTGCCTTCGCCTGCCCTGTGAATTTGGAGTCCCACTCAAGGAATTTGCCATAAAGGAAAGCACATACAGTAAGTGGTCGTCAGGTGGTGAGGTCCCTGTGAAGTGAGGTTTTTAAGTAAGTGGAGGGGGAGAGGGCCTGCAACTTGAAGATGGACAGACGTGGGTCTGAGTCCTGGAGCTGCCACTTATTCCCTGTAGATAACCTAGCACAAGAGCCTTGGTTTTCTTATCTGTATAATGGGATGGTGGCAACCTCAGAGAGTGGTTGACAGTTCAGTTAAACAGCCTGTGTGCAAAGTTCGCAGTCTATTGCCTGGCACATGACAGGGCCTCACAGAGGCTAGTTTCCCAGTTACACCGGGTGTGGTCCCCAGGTTTGCTGATGGCTAAGCTGAAGGACGGGCTGCACAACAGTCTTTTTGGGATCTCATGCCAAAGTGTGTGTCTGCACAGCCCTTGAATAGCCCTAGAGGGGATTGTCCCCTCTAGGCCATCCTTGTACAATGTTCTATAGGGGCAGCTGGTCATAGGCTGAATCCAGCTCTTTGGAGAAATGGACTGGCTGAAATTTTGGAGGGAGAGAATCAGGAGTGTTGGTTTCTTTCTGCTAATCTGTGGTCCCTGGAAACATGAAATCTTTGGGAGGTAAAGTTTTCAAGGAAAAGGGGAACACACAATCCTGATGCCCTGTGAGCCTCCCAGTGACAATAGAATAGTGACAATAGAAGGGACCTACAGCCCCAAGGGGGAGGCCTTTCTCAGCCACAGGTGAGCAAGCCCAGGTGTGAAGGCCAGTTTGGATGCCATTGACTGTTCAATAAGCCGATGTAGACCAGATGCTCATTATAAGCTGAGCAGCCTCAGTCCCTGTCTTTGAAGGAACCGAAGGTCCTGAGACTGATTTGTGGGCAGATACAGGCTTCCACTCAGCCTGGAGTTCAGAGTCTTACTGAGCCAAATATCTATTGACTGGGTCTGGAGGAGATGTTTCTGGCCCCAGCAGAACTTGCCAGCCTCTGTGTGATCTACGACTGGCCTCAGGTCAGCTGTAGATGGGGTCTTATGATGTTTGCCCCCAGGCCTCTTCCAAGGTCGCTGACGTCAGGGAAAAGCTCCCACGTGCAGAGTCATCTGAGCAGTCACTGAGCTTGGCTAATAATGATCTGCCTAATGTAAATAATGATCTTATTTACATGAGGAGGGAATCAAAAGGTAGATTTCAAACCCACCCTCTGAAAGACAATGAATTAAATATTAAGTGAAAAAGGGCAATGCTGAGTTGGCTTTTTAAAGTCAGCTAGCCAAGAAGTGATAAATCTAAGTGGTTTTTAAATCCCTTCTAACGTCCACAGTTGAAAAAGCTGGTGTAAAACTCAACATTCAGAAAACTAAGATCATGGCAACCAGTCCCATCACTTCATGGCAAATAGTTGGGGAAAAAGTGGAAACAGTGACAGATTTTATTTTCTTGGACTCCAAAATCACTGCAGACAGTAATTGCAGCCATGAAATTTAAAAACTCTTGCCCCTTGGAAGGAAAGCCATTTCAAACCTAGACAGTGTATTAAAAAGCAGAGACATCGCTTTGCTGACAAAGGTCTATCTAGTCAAAGTTATGATTTTTCCAGTAGTCATGCACGGAAATGTAGAATTGGACCATAAAGAAAGCTGAACGCCAAAGAATTGATGCTTTTGAACTGTGGTGCTGGAGAAGTCTCTTAGAGAGTCCCTTGGACTTGAAAGGAAATTCAACCAATCCATCTTAGAGGAAATCAACCTTGAATATTCACTGGAAGGACTGATGCTGAAGCTAAAGCTCCAATACTCTGGCCACCTGATGCAAAGAACCGACTCATCAGAAAAGACCCTGATGCTGGGAAAGATTGAGGGTGAAAGGACAAGATGGTTGGATGGCATCAGCAACTCAATGGACATAAATTTGAGCAAATTCCAGGGGATAGTGAAGGACAGGGAAGCCTGGCGTGCTGCAGTCTATGGGGTCACAAAGAGTCGGACAATTTAGTGAATGAACAACAACAACTCCCACAGTTTACCGTGATAAGTCAGCTTGCAAATCCCATCCACCTTCCCCTCCTACAATAAGTACAGTTAGTGTTTTGTATTTTAAACTTCTCTTGTTGTTCGACTGAGATCCCTCCCTGGCTGCATGATTTTCCTCCCTGTTTTGCGAAGATCTTTATCACTTCTCTGGTTTTAAAGTAGCTGAAAGAGCTAGTCTGCCTAGTCTAAGCAAAACATTAACCTGCCTATAATTGGTTACCACAGGCCTCCTATGATGACCCCTTCCTGGGCAGGGTCTACCTTCTTTGCGAGGAAGGGCTGACCTTAAAAACATAGATATTTTTGGACTTTGCTGGCGTTCTAGTGACTCCATGCTCCCAATGCAGGGGGCCCAGGTGTGATCCCTGGTCAGGGAACTAGAACCCACATGCTACAACTGAAAGGTCACATGCCTCAAGTAAAGCTCCTGCATGCCCACAACTAAGACCCAGCACAGCCCAATAAATAAATATAAAAAGCAAAACCAAAAAACCCCAAACCTCATAGCTATTTTGTCATAACATCTGGACAGTGTTTTGCATAATAAGTACCAACTCATGTCTGCATAGAACTGCTTTCAAAGAAGTTACTCCCTTTTAAAAAAATTGCACTACCCACTACTCTCCTTCTGGAAGACAAGGGAAGTATAGTTATTGTCCATTTTACAGATGAGAAAACTGAGAGCAGAGATGTTAACCTACCCAAGTCCGTTCCCTTTTACTCCACAATTGTGGTACATATGTGTATGTTTCTCTTTCTGTGTCTGTCAGTCAGGGTATATGTGTAGGGGTAGTAAAGAAATAGTAAGTAAGCGAAATAATACAACACAAGCAAGTAACAAGCAAAATAAATGAGGATTTGGAAGGGGGAGAAACTCATCTGAAGTTAGGGAATCGTCACAGAGCTGAAGCTCTTTGGAGAATTTCTGGAAGAAGGGCTGCCAGGGTGGTGTTTCAGCCAAGACAGTGTAAGGAGTGGTTGGCAAATACATGAATTTTTGAAGTCGAGCCACTCTCTCTGTTCCATCATTTGGAAGATTTACAGAATGGCACACCATCTTGCCAGAATACTTCTTTGTTGGAAGGTTGCACACTTAGTGGAGACAGTGGGGTGGGGCAGGGGCTCTCGAAGTAAATCAGTTTTAGCATGTTTCCTGCGGAGTTGAATCCAAGCTGATGTATGGGAACCTGTGTTATCCTCCAGGCTTCACGCTCCTTCTGCCTTTTGTTTTAACCACAAGTGGCGCATTTGTGATCCAGGAGGTCCAGCCCAGGAGGGTCAAGGGCTTGAGGGGGGCCTTGGTGTCCCCCTACGCCCTGCCTCCTGCTAGCCTCTCGCTCCAGCCCATCTGACCCTTTTACTCTGCCCAGTTTTGCATCCTGGGCTTTAAAAAAAAGATAGTTGTGTAATTTGAGTCTGGGCTGCTCTGTTTACCAAGCACTGGAGCACGTGCTCCGATGAGTCAGGGGCTGGACTTGTGGGCTGTCCACCCTTCCCTGGCCTGTCTCCCCCGACCATGCATCCTCCGTACAGCTGGTTCCTATCAGGTGCTCGGGAGTCGGTCAGGGAGCCCGGAGATGCTCCTGCCCTCCCAGCCAGCAATATCGAGGGCCTTTCCTTTCCCAGGATGCACTCGGGGACACTCAGCTGGTTTCCGAACTCTCTCTTTTCCAGCCTTTTCCCTGGAAGGCTCAGGAATCAGCTTTGCGGATTTATTCCGGCTCATTGCTTTCTACTGCATCAGCAGGTAAGGCTCCCTTTGTCTCCTGATGTCAAGCCGCTGCTTGGTGACTGCGCTGTCACCAGCCCCCAGGTTTCTTCATTCACCCCGGGCAGGGGGCTCCGGAGGGCTTGTCAGCTGTTGGGTGTCCCTGGAAGGATTGGCCCCTGAGGTAAAAGGGTCCCCAGGCCCCCCCGTGCCAGGCTTAAATGACTGCCCTGGCCCCTGTAAATGTAAAATCACACGCTCACATAGAAAGGGGCCTGTGATACAAACCTGTCATGTTTAAAGATCCTAATATTCCTCATGGATGGAACTAAGAGTGTCACACGGAATGAAGTAAGTCAGACAGAGAAGCAGAAACATGGTGTGACAACTGTATATGTGGAATCTAAACAGAAATGATACAAATGAACTTACAAAGTAGAGACTCACAGACTCACAGACTTAGAGAAGGAACCTATGGGTGCTGGGGGTGGGGGGAGTGGAAGGGATAGTTAGTGCGTTTAGGTTGGACGTGTACACAGTGCTATATTTAACTGGATAGGGAACTTCTCTGGTGGTCCAGTGTCTAAGACTCTGTGCTCCCAATGCAGGGGGCCTGGGTTCAATCCCTGGCTGGGGAACAAGATCCCACATGCTACAATAAAAACCCGGTACAGCCAAATAAATAATTAAAAAAAAAAAAGAATAAACTGGATAACCAACAAGGACCTTCTGTATAGCACAGGCAACTCTGCACAATGTTTTGTGGCAGGCTGGATAGGAGGGGAGTTTGGGTGAGAACGGATACATGTGTATGTATTGCTGAGTCCCTTCACTGTCCACCTGAAACTATCACAACATTGTTAATTGGCTGTATGCCAATCTCCCCCCCCAAAAACTTCTCTGGGATTGGAACACATAGGTTTTCAAGGCAGGGGCCTTCCGTATCCTCCTTTGCCTGGCAAAGCAATATGTCCTTTTCTACTTCAAAATAAATCAAGATCCTAATGTTTCTGAAAACTCCCCAGTGGATGCAGTTCATCTAGAATTGTGGGTGCCTTCAGCCCCTAAATCTTGCATCTCTCTCCTTTAGGCCCGCTGGGTACACCTGTCTTTTTTGTAACTAAAGGGACTGTTTCAGTCTACATGAAGCTAAGCCCCAAACCCCTATGTTAACAAGTGTCAGGAGGGCACAAATTGGAAAAGGCTTTCTTTCTTTTCTTGTGAGCCACCCCAGTTTCTCAAATCAAGGATTCTTTCTCTGAATCAGGATCGAAACACATTGTCTGCAGAGGCTGACATTGCTTCCTCTCAGGTAGCCTAGCTCGGGGCGGGGCTGGGGTGGGGGGTTGGTCCCTGGGTTTTTCTGCGCATGTGTTGCAGCTGACAGAGCAGAGATGAGTGTGTGTTCCTGGGGTGTTTTGCAAAAGATACTTCTCATCCCCGTCCCACCTGTGGCTGAGAAGTCTATTTGGAATCAGGTTATTTTATGTTAATTAATATGTGGGCTGTTTCTCAAAAACTGAGTTAGATGTTTGTTGCACCTTATAGTACCAGACCCTTGGTGGGGCTGGGTGGTAGAGGAGGCCCAAGCTGTCCACTCCCGGAGGTCCTCAGACCAGGCCAGTCGCAGCCACGGTCAGCAGCCTAATGGGGGGTACTTTCAGAGGGGCAACAAACAGGGCTTTTACGCCCCTGAATGGGACTGACCGGGACCCCGTGAGCACCCTGCAGGGGCCACCACCTGCCCGGGTGTGAGGGGATCCGCCCAATTGAGGAGGGCAGTGCAGAAGCCCCCACGTCCCCAGGCATGCCCACCTGCTGTGGCATGAGCCCCTGAGAGGGGCTGTCAGCCTGGCTGTGGGCCAGAGGCAAGCTTGGCTGGCGTTTGCACGTCAGTTCACGTCTTGATGGGCCCGCTGTTGTTATGAAAGCTAGTCCCACCTAGGCTCTGTGACAGCCTAGAGGGCTGGGATGGGGTGGGAGGAGAGAAGGAAGTCCAAGAGGGGGGGGACATATGTGTCCCCGTGGCTGACTCATGTTGATGTATGGCAGAAACAGCACAATATTGTAAAGCAGTTATTCTTCAATTAAAACTAAATAGGTTTTAAAAAAAGATTGTCCCACCCAGAAAACAGGATTTGGCAGCCTGAGAAGTATATCATCTCTGCCATCAGTGGTCATGGTAGACTGGGTACCACTGTCCAGGGCCAGTGGATGACTGGAGGGGACAGAGTCCATAGACGCCTTGGTGACCTACACACATGATGCCAAGACAGGTGCTCACAGGCAGACCCCTCTGTTGACATTTTGTGATTAATAGCCAGTATGCTTCTCTTTAGAAAAAACTACACATGGAGCAAAAACAAAATTAAAAAATAAAACGAGTACGCATGTACTAACACTCTTGAGTGAAACATTTTTAACAAAGGTGACTTTATTTTGTCTATCTTGAGAGTTTTAGAGCCAGGGTCTAGGTGAGAAGGAGGCGCCCCCTTTTGTGTGTATGTGAGGAGGGGCTGGGTTGTGCCCTTGGCCGGCACGGCGAGAGAGGACTCACAAACAACATCTAATCTTCTAGTAGATCAAAGCCTAAAACCAGCCATGAGTGAATGACAGGTGTGGTTTCCTGCCATCTCTGTCATTAAGGAAAACCAAAACCAATCATGCGATGTTTTAGGCTCTAGGTACTGTGCTGGGCAAAGTAAAATCTTAAAATAAACGTAGGTTGGTTTTTGTTTGGGGCTTCCCAGGTGACTCAGTGGTAAAGAGCCCGCCTGAGTCAGACAATACATGGTTTTCCTCCCAGATCCTCTAAAGAAAGTAGGTTTTCATGAAGTGGGCAAGCCATGGAAACATATATTTGCATGATATTTTGGCGTTACAAAGTTCTGGTTCTCGTTAGCCTTCATTTAAGATTATCATCAGGGCCATGGCCTCTCCTGGGTCAGGCAGCAGCTCTTACACAAATGCTGTGTCCCCTGACACTCCACCTGCTTCATCCAGAACAGATGCACGGGGACAAGTAGAGGGAGGTGATCATAGCATCCAGGGGCAGAAGGGTCTCCTGGAAGCAGGATGTGACCCTGGCTTGACACCCTGGAAAGAGGAGCCTCTTGACTGCCAGCTCCTAATATTTATGTGAGCCCTCGTAACCCTGTTACACTCTATTCATGTTCTGCTCTTTTGGTAGACCTTACTACTTTGTTATTCATTGTCAACAGCCTCAAGGGCTCCAAGATTCTCTAGTCATCCAGATTTAATCTGCTGCAGCCCAGAGTGTTGCCCAGTCTTACTGTAAATGACAAGTTGTTTGGTGTAGTTACTTTCTTCAGTGGAAATATCCAGAGCGTCTTGTGCAGACAGAACACAGACACTCCAAGCATTGCCCTCACACACTTCACCGCAGGCATGGGAGGGGAGGGGTCTCCTTGCTGTTCTTCATACACACCAGACACTCTCCCATCCCAGGGCCTTTGCACCTGCTGTTCCCTCTGCCTGGAATGTGAGGCCAACTCTCATACTTGAACCCTCTTTATTTTTCTGCTTTTGTGCTTTATTTTTATCCATGGAGCACATCCGCTTCTCATAGATTCTATGAATTGCGTTATTGTTCTCTGTCTGCTGGCATCCACTGGAGTGACGCTTCATGCAGGTGTGGACTTTGTTTTGTTCGAAACACCTAGAACAGTGTCTGGCACATTGCGGATTACCATAGACTTTGCTGGATGAATGAATGAATTCTTTCTTTGTAAGATCAATAACATCAATGGGGGGAAAAAAAAGTCCTTTCCTGAGAAGTCATTATTGTCATTGCACATTCATTCATCTATTTATTTGAAGCACACTCTCTCCCATCTGTATCAGGCCAGGCTGTGTGCTGAGCCCCATTTAGATTTTACCAGTGCTGAGAGCATGACCCTAATCCTTGTATCTAAGTGTTAGTCTCTCAGTTGTGTCTGACTCTGTGACCCCATGGACTGTGGCCCTCCAGGTTCCTCTGTCCAGGGGATTCTCCAGGCAAGAATACTCGAGTGGGTTGCCATTTCCTTCCTCAGGGGATCTTCCCGACCCAGGGATTGAACCCAGGTCTCCTAGCATTGCAGGTGGAGTCTTTATCATCTGAGCCACCAGGGAAGCCCAGGTCCTTGTGTATGAAGATAAGCAAATGTTTCTCAAGTCTGGCTTTGCCCTTTTGGAGAAAGCTGCTGCTGCTGCTAAGTCTCTTCAGTCGTGTCCGACTCTGTGCGACCCCATAGACGGCAGCCCACCAGGCTCCGCCATCCATGGGATTCTCCAGGCAAGAACACTGGAGTGGGTTGCTATTTCCTTCTCCATTTGGAGAAAGCAGGAGGTCACAGAGCAGGAGGTCACGGTGGTGACACTATGCTCTGGCCATGGCAGGATCCTTTTGCAAGCCCAGCTCCTTCCTCTTGGGTCTGCTGGTCTGCAATGCTGCAGTGCGTGTGTTTCCTGGTCCACACATGGCACCAGACTGTTTAGGGGCAGGGCTGTCACATGAGTTCCTTTAGTTTTGCTTTTCTGCTCAAAGTGTGACCCAGGAGCAGGGAGCTTGGCAGAAATGCCAAACCTCCAGCCTCCCCCAGACCTGTTGAATCAGAGTGCAGCCTCACAAGACCCCAGGGATTCAGGCACACATCACAGTTAGACAAACACTACCTGAAGACTCAAGAGGAAGGTCTGCCACCAGCACACAAAGGACAGTGTTTGGGCTCCAGCTGGAACCCCTCACAAGTAAAATCAACAGACATTCACTGAGAACCTACCGTGGGAAAGGTAGTGGGTAACACATCTGTTTAGGATCACACATTCCCACCCAGGGAGTTGGGGTCCAGCATCGAGAGCAGGTAGCAAATTGATACCTAATGTTTTCTTTGCATGACGGATCAACCATCATAGTGAGTCCAATATTAACTCTAGATACAGTTTATCTGCCCGGGAATGCAACTCCATCTTCACTGCTGATCTGGAACCAGGAACTCAGTCTGTCCTGCATGTGTTAACATGGGCAGGAGTCATGACCCGCCCAGTCCGGTCACCAGTCTAGACAAGTCCGGTTGGATATGATGCGATGTTGAAATAGTTTAAGCTGTAGATAAATAACAGGGACCTACTGCACAGCACAGGGCACTGTATTCAATATCTTATAATAACCTTTAATGGAAAAGAATCTGGAAAAAGACTATATATGTGTATAAAACTGAATCACTTTGCCGTATATTGGAAACACTGTAAATCAACGATACTTACAAGAAAATAAAATACTTTCAGCTGAAACCTTTCTAGGATGGAAATGAAAGCAAGAGACAGAAATGAGACGTGTAATTATGTGTATTCTCTCTTTTGAAAAATCAGGGATGTCCTGCCATTTACCTTGAAGTTGCCTTATGCCATTTCAACAGCCAAGACCGAGGCTCAGCTTGAAGAACTCGCCCAGCTGGGACTAAGTAAGTGGGTGCCCTTGCCCAGTCTCTTGTCATGCATGGGTGGACCAGAACCAGTGGCCCGTGATACATTGTTGCATCAGAATGTAACCCTCACCTCCATGGCAGAACTTCAGGAGGCCCTGAGTCACACCTTTTGAGAGTCTTTTTCTAAGTCAAGCATTGAACCAGCTCTCAGAGGCAGGTGCTGGGTTTGCCTGGGGAGCTCCCACAATTCTCCCCAGCACCTCCCGTTGATGAGTTTGAGCTCCCCCAAATGTCCGGCCAGTGTCTGTCATAGGTCCTGCCTTTCTGTGGCATCTTGCTGGGGAATGGCCGTGCCTGATGGACAGGGAAGTCAGCACGGGCACCTCCCCTGAGCTGTATTCTAGAACACACGGCATTGACAGCACTTCTGTGCTTTGAGGAATCTAACTGCACGGGCTTCCAGGGAACATCTGTCTCAGTTCCTCTCTGTCTCAGTTCCGGCCCCGGTGTTCTCGGCCACGCCCCTCACCCTGCCCTGCATCCCCACTCCGGCCAGCCAGATGTTCACTTCCCCTCGTGCCCCTCAACCCAGCCCCGTGCTGGGCAGTGGATGGTAGGGGCTCAGGACACACCACGCCCCCAACGTCACTTCTGGGTCCTGTTGCCCTGGGGAATCTATGTGCATTTGACTTTCACACAGACACACACACAGACACAAAATGTTTTCCTCCTTGATGAGAAAGGGGAATTCTCTTAAGATTTCAGGGCTCCATACTTCAGATAGATGAACAACCAGGCCATGGTATTTGAGTGAGAGTTTGGGATTCAGAAGTGCAAGTCCCAGGATTCTTAGAACCTAAGAAACTGTGATACTTGACCCAGCAAATAAGAAATGTCCTTCCTTGGGCACGTTTTCCCCTTACTCTAAAGAATTTGTTCTGGTTGGGGGGTGGGGGGGGCATTGCCAGGGGAGCCTGCAGAATACACAGAGAAGCCTGGAGTTAAGAGTCATGGTCCCCCCTGAAACCTAGGTTGCCTCAGAAGAATTGCCACATGCGTCCAAGGCCTGCCTGATGGGCAGCTGGGTCTCAGGACAAGGAAGCAGAGTCCTGGTAAAAACAACAGGGCCACGTAAGTGTCCCTGCTGAAAAGTCATGCCTGCTATCTCTGCCACTGAGCTTTATACACCTTGGAGACAGTTCAAAGCATTTCCTGAGTTTAAGGTCACATCACCACCTAGATTCTAGCCCTGCTGAGGACATGTTCCAGGTCTCTTTCCTCTGGTGACCTCCGTCCACTGGACTCCTAAGTGGATGGTCCACCTACTATGTGTGCTTCAGGCCAGGGCTCAAGGACTAGAGTATCTGGGGGCAGCCCTTGCCCCCTGCAAAGGCTGAGACAAAAAAAAAAAAAAAACCTGTTCTGGTGGCCACTCGCCAGAAGCACATTTTTTTTTTAAAGCGAAAGTATTAATCGCTCAATCATGCCCCAATCTCTGTGACCCTGTGGACTGTAGCCCACCAGGCTCCTGGGCTCCTCTATCCATGAAGTCTTCAGGCAAGCATACTGGAGTGGGTAGCCTTTCCCTTCTCCTGGGGATCTTCCCAACCCAGGGCTCAAACCCAGGCCTCCTGCATTGCAGGCAGATTCTTTACCGTCTGAGCCACCAGAGAAGCCCATAGATATTCAACGTGTAATTGTTACTGTGCACTTCAGTTTGTGAAGAGACATCCCTTTTTAAAACCCTGTACCTCATGTATTTGTTCATCCAACAAGTGTTTCTGGAGGGTCTGCTATATGGCAGCCACAGCAAGGGTTTAAGGATCCATAGGGTCTCTTCCCCTTGCCCACCCCAGCTTTATAGTCTGTATGGGAACAATACATACACAGGAACTATATATTCTATATTTGCAAAGTCTTAACAATGGTGACAGTGGGAATTTAAGGAGGCTTAAATTTCGAGCTAGAGCAGCCCTATACTGGCCACTATAAAAATATGTAAGGCCAGCCAGTGCGCACTTTTAAATTTCCTAGTGGCCACATGAAAGAGAATTAAAGGTGCAGTTAATTTTTATAAGTTATTTACCATGTGAAATGCTATTTCAATATATCATCCCTATTTTTTAAAATAGTAATGAAATATTTTACCTTCTTTTTTCCTTGCTAAGTGTTTGAAATCCAGTATATATTATATCCTTAGAGCACATTTCTATTCAGGCACTAAATTTTCAGCAAAAATACATAGATCAGTATCTAGAGTCCATTAAATTTACAACTGAAGAAGTAGTTTCGCATACCCAAGTTCCAGACCTACTTGAGTTTCCCAGTAATGGAATTGTCCGGTTTTACATTTAAATGGGTTTACATGAAATAAGATGGAAAATTGAGTCCCTCATTGCACAAGCTGGATTTCAAGCGCTCACTGGCCACAGGTGGCTGCTGGCTCCCCTGTTGGACAGCGCAGACCTAGAGGGAAGGAAGGACGGCAGAAAGCAGGCAACAGGAGCCAAGGTCAGGGCAAGGCGTGGCAAGGAAAAGGCAGGCCCAGGGCTCCCAGCCTCACCCTCTCTCCAGACCCTGGTGACCAGCCATGCTGGGCCCTTAGGAAACAAACAGTTTCAGCAAACACAGCAAGGCTCAGCTGTAGAGAGAGCAACCTATTCCAGATGGAAATAACACCAGGTATTTATCAGCACCACAGCCTCCCTTGATTCGCATGGAAGACCAGCCTGTCCGTCCAAGGACGCACAGGCATGGTGGCTGCGATCACAGCGATGTGCCCCACTCCAGAGTGTGCTGAGCCGCAGTGGCCATGGCTAGGAGGCTGGAAGATTTGGCAAGAGTGGGCAGCAAACCACAAAGACGGTCGAACTTGCACTTATCCTGAGCCCAGTTGTCCTGTTTTTTTTTTTTTTTTTTTGCTGATGGGCCCTATGAGTGCATTTTTCCTCCTTTTGGGTTTTAATGCTGAATGTGTAAAACCCCAGGCAGATTGTGTAATGTCCTCAGGCCCAGCTGCTCGTCCTGCCCATTAAAGGGGAACTGCGGGCCCTGGGAGGCGGAGGAGGGCACCCCAGGATAAGGGGATCCATTGGAAAGGGTGCTGCTGCTGGGAGGGCAGACTCCTTCTTGGTGGAGCAAGTGGCCCCCCACCCCGGGGACCACACCCCCCCCCCCACCTTCTCCCAGCTCCCACTGTTCCTTTTTTTCTCACCTGGGGGAGGGCTGGGCCCACTGTAGGCAACAGCCAAGCCATTTCTCAAGAGCCTTGAAGCCCAAAGCCTCCCGAGCCTTCCTGGGAGCCTGCAGCTGGGCCTGGCAGTATTTCCAGCCCTTCCAGTAAAGGAATGCAGTTAAAAGCAAAAAGAGAGAGAGAGAGAGAAAGGAAAACACCACACTTCAGCGTAGCACCTCCCCTCCAAAGCCATGCATTGCCAGGCAAGTGTGCTGTTTGTGATGGACCGGCCGAGTGCACTGTATTTACATTCTTGTGTTCACTGATAATGACTTTCAGATTTTTGGAGCTCTCCAGCTGACAACAAACCCCCAAACCCTCCACCTCCCCATAGGCCTCCCTCCTCCGACGGCGGCTACGATGATGGCGTGGGTCCGGCCTCCTCGCGTCAGCTCTGCCTGATAAATGGAGTGCATTCTATAAAAACCAGGACGCCCTCGGAACTGGAGTGCAGCCAGACCAACGGGGCCCTGTGCTTTATTAATCCCCTCTTCTTCAAAGTGCACAGCCAGGACCTCGGCGGGGGCCCCCGGCGGCCCTGCACCCGGACTCCCGACGCGGATGGCACCGAGAGGCCTCGGTCCCCGCCGCCCAGGCCCCCGCCGCCCGCTATTCATAGTCAGACCGCCGGCCCCCAGCTGGCCGGGCCCGCGGCGCCCCCGGCCGGCATGCCGGAAACCGTCGCCCTGCACCAGCCCGGGGACGCGGCGCGGCTTGGAGCGAAACCCACCCCCGTGCCTCCACCCCGGCTCAAGAAGCAGGCGTCTTTCCTCGAGGCGGAGGGCGGCGCCAAGACCTTGACCGGCGACCGGCCTCGCCCGGAGCCCGCGGCGGGCCCGGCGAGCGGCGCGGGGGGGGCGCCTGCCCCGGCGGAGACGGAGGCGGAGGCGGTCCTGGCCTCGGGGGATTGCGCAAGGGCCCGGCGCGCCGCCGCCTCGGCCTCGGCATCCCGGCCCCCGTGGCGCGCGGGCCGCCAGCGGCTGAGTGACATGAGCCTTTCCACTTCCTCCTCCGACTCGCTGGACCTGGACCGCAGCATGCCCCTCTTTGGCTACGAGGCGGACACCAACAGCAGCCTGGAGGACTACGACGGCGAGAGCGATCAGGAGACCATGGCCCCCCCCATCAAGTCCAAGAAGAAGCGGAACAGCTCCTTCGTGCTGCCCAAGCTCGTCAAGTCCCAGCTCCGCAAGATGAGCGGCGTCTTCAGCTCGTTCCTGACCCCGGAGAAGCGCATGGTGCGCCGGATCGCCGAGCTGGCCCGCGACAAGCGCACCTACTTCGGCTGCCTGGTGCAGGACTACGTGAGCTTCCTGCAGGAGAACAAGGAGTGCCACGTGTCCAGCACCGACCTCCTGCAGACCATCCGGCAGTTCATGACCCAGGTGAAGAACTACCTGTCCCAGAGCTCCGAGCTGGACCCCCCCATCGAATCGCTGATCCCCGAAGACCAGATAGGTGAGTACCACCTTGCCTTTAAAATACGTGTGTGTGCGTGTGTGTGTGTGTGCGCGTGTGTGGAATTGCTTATACCTGCTATCGAGAAAAGATACCAGTGGAATTATTTAAAAACAGAAATTCGCAGCCGTAGAAAGAAACTTATGGTTATCAAAGGGGGAAGGGGAGGGAGGGATAGATGAGGAGTTTGGGATTAACAGATACACCCCACTGTAGGTAAAATAGATAAGCAACAAGGACCTACTGTATAGGTAGGATCTATACACTTAACAGTTATAACTTAACAAGGACCTATATACTTAACAGTTTGTAATAACCTATATGGGAGGAGTCTGAAAAAGAATACGTCTGTGTGTATCTATATATGTGTATACATATGTGCTCAGTCACTCGTGTCCGACTCTGTGCAACCCCACAGACTGTAGCTCACCAGGCTCCTCTGTCCATGGGATTCTCCAGGCAGGAATACTGGAGTGGATTGCCATTTCCTCCTCCAGGATGTGTGTGTATACATATCTGAGTCAGTTTACTATACACCTGAAACTAATAGGACTTTGTAAATCAACTATACTTCAATAAAATGACCATATATTTGTCGCCTATGGCCTGGCAGGACAGTGTAGCCTGTGTTAGTTCTCTTGGGTGGCATTTTCTCCGGAGTTCAAAACAGCAACACACTCCACCCCCTGGGCTGATCTAAACTAGAAACACAGCTTCTTGAAGTTGACTTCATGTTATATACCTCGCTTGGGGGCTGAGCATCAGGCTCGGACACGTTTGGCGGAGCAACTGATGGGAGCCGCAGATGGGTCTGTTCAGCGGTGGACCATTCCGGTTGCCTGCCTGATGTTCGCTCTTTGTGGGCCTTGAGGGTCTCCTGAAGGTGTGTCTCAGCAAGCCGTGGGGGTTTGTGCTGTACTGGTTGGAAAGTGCCCTTTTTTACCCTCAGAGGAGGGCAGAGGCCACGGTGTGCAGCTGGGTGAGTTGCCACAGGGAGCAAGCACCAGTGCAGCAGAATATGACAGCATCAAATCCCCCAGGGACCCCCTCCCTGTCCCCCTTCTCCCCAAAGGGTAACTGCCCTGTGGGCTTCTAATCACACAATTCAATAAGTTTGGGAGTAAGCAAAAACAAAAAAAAGTCAAATGGACAAGTTTGTTTTGTGTATCTTTAAAAATAAGTATCAAATTTTGGGGGTCACATGAAAGGTGTTTTCTCCAAAGTCAAGGGGAAATAACTTTCTTTCTAACCTCATTGGAGAGCTGAATTGCTAATAGTTACTTTGGCCAAGGGAAGATTGAATTTGGCAAGACCTCTCTTTTTCCAGGGCTAGAGTCTTAAGGGATTTTTTTTTTTTAACTTCAGAAGATTGACTCTGAAGGACAAATTTCAGAGACCTCATTCACTGGGCAGCAGCGATCAAAAAGAGCTACTCAACTTTCCTAGGCCGTTCATAAAGCAAAGCTGGAATCGGCTTCTTTCTGATTGGGTCTGTTTGTGGAAAGTAGTAAACACCGTGTAGTTTGCCGGTGGTGTCTCCCCGCCTCTCTCTCTCTCCCCCTCTCCTTGAAGTGAGTTTCAGCAGCTTTTTTGATTTTCTCACAAAGGAATCAAAGCCTTGTTTGTTTTCCTGTGGCTTGCGCCTGGGTGGGTGGGGCGTGGTTAGAGCCCGGCTGCTGGAGAGAAAGCTGGAAGGAATGTGCCCCAGGATGCGCCTTGGGGATGGAATTGCATGCCTTCGGGACAACGGAAGAGCGGCCCGGCCCTCTCGGTCGTCCCCCCCTCCCCCGAGCCTGCCTCTCAGGGGAGACCGGCTCAGACCCCGCACCGGCGGGAGAGCCAGGCGGGCGCTGATGTCAGCGCTGGGCTATGTGGCCGCAGTGCCAGCCAGCCCACGGAGACGAGGCTCCTCCCTGGGGCGTCAGGCCTTGCCTTCCTTCCCCGCCAATACCGTGAGCACCGACCGAAGCACCGACCGAAGCTGCCGGTCCTTCCGGGCAGGGTAGGGGGATGCTCTCCTGTCTCGGAAGGTGACAGTTCAGATAGGGTATTGCTGTTGGTTGGAGCCCGGATCTCATCTTCTCCAAAAAATGATTTGAATGTGGCCAGCAGTCTTTGACACAAACGCTTTGCTGCTCTGGAAAAATGGAGCTTTCCATCTAAAAATCTAAGGTCATGAGGAGGGAAGCTGACATCCAGGCTGCCTGTCCCAGCGCTGGCAGTAGGTCTTGGCCTCAGCCCTGTGAAGCCGGCATCCGTGCGCCCTGGAGCAAGGGTGGGTTCTGCCAGCTGGAGCCAACTGTCCAGGGCTATACCGGCCTCACCTGTGCAGCTTCTGAACTTTCTTCTTTGGATTCAGAGCCTGTTTTTTTGAGGGGACTTCCCTGGTGGCCCAGTGGTTGCCTTCCACTGGACCACTGGGGAATGTGGGTTCAACCTTTGGTCGGGGAGCTAAGATCTCATGTGCCTCGTGGCCAGAAACACAAAACATAAAACAGAAGCAATGTTGCAACACATTCAATAAAGAGCTTAAAAATGGTCCACATTAAAAAAAATCTTATAAATTACAAAAATTTTTTTTTACTTTGTTTATTTGGCTGTGCTGGGTCTTTGTTGCTGCACAGGTTCTTCTCTAGTTGTGGCACGCAGGGGCTACTCTCTAGTTTCGGTGCACGGCTTCTCATTGTGGCAGCAGCTTTTGTTGCAGAGCACAGGCTCTAGCGTGCAAGCTAAGTAGTTACGGCACACGGGTTTAGTTGTCCAGCAGCACGTGGGATCTTCCCGATCAAACCCATGTCTCCTACATTGACAGGCAGATTCTTTACCACTGAGCCACCAAGGAAGCCCCCCACCCCAATTTATTTTTTTTAAACCCTGTGTTTTGAACCTTACCCCTCTACCCTGCTGGTGCCTATGTTCATATTTTCTCATAAGAAACTAAGGAGATTGGAAAAAAAAAAAGAAACTTAAGGAGATTGGAAAACATTGTTTAATTGTGTTATACACCTAATAGGACTACAATATTTGTCAATTGTATCTAAATGAAAATTACTTTAAACATTTAATTTGTAAATTCAAGGGAATTAGAATAGTAGGCTCACCATTAATAGAGGCAGCTCAAACTGCCACCGTCTGTGGATGTGTGGGTGTACCCAGACAACACACTGCCACACTTTTTTATTGTTTGTTTTATTTAAGTATTTGCATTAAAGCAGATGCTTCATCATATCTGTTGCTTCATCAATGAAACCATTATTCTGTTTTGAGAAGTGCAGAGAATGTGCTGGGCTTTTGAAATTAAGAGGAAGGCGAGCCAGAGCAGAAGGTGACCTGAGAAACTCATCATGTGCCGAGTTGTGGGGAAAGATGTGATCCTAATGATTAGAAAACCGGTCCCCTTAAATGTGCCAGTTTAGATTCGGACTCTGGCAAGAAAATGGAGTCTAAATGATCTGTTTTACATATTCCTCAATGACGGCTCACTAGTTTACTAAGACCTTGTTAACACAGCGATTCCTTTGAGCTGTGTGATCAACTCACGGTTGGTACCTTTGTGTAGATTTTGTTCTGTTTTGCAAATTCAGGAATGGAGGTCAAGATGTATAAAGTGACTTGTGGAGGGTTATGCTGCTGGTGGGTAGGGGAGATTGGATTCAGCCTGGGTCTCCTCTTGTTTATCAGTTTATTTTCACCAGTCTCACTTCCTGAGAGGTTATAATTCACTTTGAATGGATTCACTTTAAGTGCCACCCCCAGGATTCCAAACCTCAAATTTCTTCAGAACCGGTGTCAACTGATGCTTGCTTGTAAGGCTTTTCAAGAATACCAGTTGGGTTTCTCTTCTTCAAAAAAAATCTAGTCCTGTCCTCCTTTCCCACAGCTTCTGGGGGAGAGCGTGCTGATTGAGGAGGTGGAAATGTAAAGCCTAGATCTACAGAATTCCATCCTGTCATTAAGGAAGTTGGAGGAGGTATTTCAGTGCTGTAACCCATGTAGAAATCCATCACTCATATGTGAAAAAGACCCATGTGAACGCATGTGCATTTAGTGTTTGGATACAGTGCTAATCTTCTTCACAAAGGAGTTCTTCAGTTGCACAGAGAAAAGCCAATGAAAAAACCAAATAGCTCTCACCCAACTACCACTTTGTCCATGTGCTCCTGTTGTAGCCCTGTAGGTCAGCACTTGCCAGGTGAGAATGTTATGATAAACAGTCTCAAAGCTGTAAAATTGCCAGCCTAAATGGTGGTGCCCTATCGTAGAGAATTTGACTTCTGTTTAGACTGCTCTTTAAAGCACTGCTGCACAAAACCCTGCCGTGTAGAGGTTCTTGAACAGATGTTGGTTGATTGACATCAGCTTTGCTCTCCTGGTAGGAGGATGAGATAAGTTCCCATTCGACCTAGCTCCCTCTTGATTCCAGGGCCCCATATTGTGTTTCCCTTGTGGCAAGCTCTCTACCCTCCACTCTGCAAAAGTAGTATGTGCAGGGACAAGCAACTGCTTTAACAAAAGCATGTATACCATTTGGCATCCTCCTCAAAAGCCCAGGATCTGTAACTTCAAGGACAGAGTGAAGTGTACTCACTCCTGAGTGCCCCGCCCAGTAAGGTATAGACCCTGTGACATCCTTTGTTATCCCAACACTTGCTCCTTATTGGTGGGTTTCGAATCACACCACTTCCGCTTCAGTCTCTTTCAACCAATGAGAGAACTTAGTCCCAACTTTCTGGTAGTGAAATCTACACTTTATAGAACTTGCATTTTTGTGGATACTGTTTTGATTTTCTTCAAGCAAAAGAATTTTTACTTCTGATTTGATATTAATCTTAAGGAAATCCCTCTGTTTTCAAGTCTTGTTTCAAGAAAAACAAAATTTTTCCAACTCCCAAAAATGTTAGTAATCCTCAACTTTCTATTTCATTCAAATTGCACACAAACACTCCACAAAGATACAGAGAAGCCAACTGTATTTCTAAAAGTCAGTGATGAAAAACAAG